AAACCTTCTAGATCGCAAACAATTCACAATGGTTGATGGCATTTCAAGCCAAACTGAAACTACCAAAGCAGGTGTGCCCCAAGACTCAGTCCGTGGACCCCTACTCTATACATTACATGTTCTGTCATTGAAAACTGCTAACATTATAGGTAGATACTTTAAATTCGCAGATGATACTGTTCTTGTATATAAGGGTAAAGACTTGAAACAACTTGAAAGATATCACAGATGGCTTGCAAAGAATAAACTACAGATCAATATAAAGAAGACTACCTACTTTTATAAAAGTTAGCCTTGTCAGGAAATGACTAAAACTGAATCTAGAAGTGAGTTGAATCCTTTAATGTACACTATCAACTTGAACAGTCGAAGTCCGTTCTTTAGAAACTAGAAACCTGACTAAGAAACCGAATATATGAAAATGTTCTTTGAAACATTTATTACAGTCCGCTTATTTTGACCTACCTAATTTTGTTGCACTCCTAGCAGCCTATTTCGAAAATCCTAGTCTTCCAATTTTCCTCATCCACTTTTTCGCACTGGAAACACTTGTTTGAGTGTACGAACAGTTTTGAAAGCTATTTTTGTGGTTAATTTTTCGGAAAATTCGGACCACTTCATAGGTTATTTCGGCTCATAAACTTCGAATCTACAGACTTGCTACAGAAATTATGAAATAATGTACAACAAATTAGTATTTTCCTTTTTATGTCTAGGCATGTAACGATTAATTTCTCAATTTTTTCTTGAAGTTCTCTATTGAATTTTTTTCTTCAACCACTTCATCACAACTACTTCCAAGATACCTGAACTTTCCTTCAATTCATTAGGAGATTGCATCCGCAATCTATTTATCAATTAATGTTTCAGTTAATACAAACAGATTTGTATAAGGTCAGTTGATCAAAAAGAAAGCAAAATAAGCTGGTCAATTTTATGTGAATTCAAGGTCCCGGAATTTGAAACAACAGATTGAAGTTATTGCTATAATCCAGTTTACAGCCAGGGGGTCGTCCTTCCCTTGACCAAAACGGAAATATTTATAATAATCAGGATATTTTAATTACGTTGCACGAGTGTTACACGGATTCTGCGGTGATATGAATAGGAAACAGAAACAAATCGAGTCGATGGGTTCTCAAACCTTTGAACTTCTAGGTTGTAGATATTGATACACAAAACTGTTACGTTATTTTTTTAAGGACAGAACACAAGCACTAGAGAAAAAGTCTTAAGGCGCTGTAAGAGCGGTGTCTGTGCAAAAGCAGCGATTCACGTTGGATTGGAATCGGTGGAGATTAAATTCATTTGGAAAAACGTTCTCTGAAAGTTTATTCCACATACACGTAGTTCTGGAGCAGTGAAGTTCGAGGTGTATTGAGTTGAACCTCAAAACGATGAGCAGCTACAGTCCGTCGAGTATTTCTTATATGTGCTGCTCTTGGCGGAATCAAATGTGCCAAGTCACTTGAACTCTTTCGATAAAAGTATCTATAGATGAGGAACAAATCCCCAACTTTTTTGACAATCGAAGTTGCAAGTAATGTTTGCATCTCCATTCAAGCGGATGGCTCTTTTCTGGATGAAATCCAGCAGCTTCAGGGTATGGTTAGGGACAGAGCTTCATACATAAGAACAATACTCCAAAGAATGTCTGATCTGAGCTTTATAAAGCAGGGATGGCCAACCTCTTTTGCCTAAAGTGCCACGTCAATACTTTTACTAAAAGCGGGGGCCGCACAAAAAAATTCAAGGCACCCTTTATTTCATTATAGCATTTTATAAATAAAGTTTTGCAGAACAAAATTAAAATGACACATGAGTTATATTGAATAGCTATTTAGGTCTAGTTGAAACGAACATAGTATTTCGCCAAACATTCTTAAATGTCTTGACTTGAGTATGCATTTCTTCGAAGTTCTCCACAATTCAACTGAAAAAACTCATCGATGAGTACACTGAGGGTAGGCCCAATCGTTCACCAGTTCATGATAATCAATTCGTATTGAGGTGGTGGCCACCTTCAGCAGATCTTGAAGTGACGTAGTTTTTGATAGTTTTCCTCAGGCAGCCTACTCCAGAATTCAACACCAGTTTCCTGGTTTCTGGAAAAGTGGGTCACAGAGCTCCAACGGTATGTCGTCATCTTGCTGAGGAATGTAACATGTCATGGGACTGTTGAATAAGACGAGATGTGATTGCATTTCATCAAAATCCAAAAAATGTTCATCGAAAGACTCCAGAAGCATATTCAATTTTGGTACGCAAAAACTGAAATTACTGGTTGGAATTTTTTTCCATGATTTCTTTGCACGATGGAAAATGTACTGGGCTTGATTTGAAAACCGTTAGTTTTCCTGTATTTTCGCAAAAATTAATGTATTGATATGTGCATTTAGAAATTCTTGCTTTTCTCAATTCTCAATTCTCAATCCTTTCAAGCAGTTTCCTTTACTTAGCCAGCGCACTTTGGTGAAGAATGTCAAGTCTCCATACTCTGCTTCTAGTTCTATTAAGAAAGACATGCATTTTCTACGAGTCAAAGACCTATGAGCTCCTTTAATCATGTTAACACTTTTCATGACTGTTTTCATCGTGTCTTCCACTTCCAGGATTTTTCCACAGAGAGCTTCCTGATGTTTAACACAGTGAAATGCTGGCAGTTCATACCACCCTTTCTTAACAAGCCCACTAGACCTATTTGAGAGCCAACCATAGCTTTGGCGCCATCTGTTTGCCTCATGCTCAAAATATGCTTCCTACTGATTCTCTTATACTTAGCATTAAACAAACCTCAACTAGTTGATACATTAAAAATTAGGTCGTAATAATATACAATTTGTATTTGTATATAAAGATTGTATTTTTATGTTTTTGTTAAAAAATATCTAATACTTCTCAAAGTCGTTCAGGGGCCGCAAAGAATAAGGCCAACCTTGCAGAAAAACAAATATTTTGTCATCATATTTCTTTGTAGAACAAAATCTCGAACATTCCAATTCTCATTTGTATCAAATATTAAAATTTGAACAGAAGATAAGTACTAACAGAAACATTCCAAGTTTTATTATTATTAGAATCCATATAAACCTTTGACCAATTTCTTGAACTGAAGGAATTCAATTCGTTTGAAATGCTTGATATATTTAAATGTTTTTTGTTGAAGTCAGAACAAGGAGGTAAAATTTCCGTTTAACATTGATTAATTTCAATTTTGTTTGTGAGTGAATTGTCAATGTATTCTTTAGCTACATTGGAAGAGTTCCAACCAGCGTGTCTCTGCCTGGATTGAACAAATATCAAACCATATTTTACCCGTGGATTGGGCTACCTATCGGGCACGTCCTCAGGTGGCGGATAGGGGAACGGCTAGGGGACTGGAGGCCCTGTCCGGGAAGCCAATGTGGCCTTACGTACGGGGTCGCCGGACTCCTGGTCAGTGGCAGAAATAAGTAGGGTGGGGGGAATTAAAACTCCCCTGAAGCCTTTGCAAAACATGCTACCGTGGACCAGCCTACCCAAGCTAAGGTATAAGAAATCGTGCCGACAGCTGAATGGCCGCAGGGTGATATGTGGTTACGAACGATCCCCTTGGGGAACTGGGCGGAACCTCATTGTAATCAGCCTACCTCTGCGGAGCTCTGTCAGAGGTGACCAACTCTTTCCTTGCTACTCGTGGGAACACACATGAATAAAACAACAAAAACAACAAAAACAACAAAAACAAAAACCAATCCCGAGGCTGGACAGAAGTGCTCACCTCAATCTAAGGCGATGGCTGGGAAAGAACAGCGCCGCTTACGCGAATTTGCGGCGCTGAAGCAAAATGGAGAAGAGAGCGTAGGAGGCAGGAGTGGAAGCAACTATAAGTGCCCCCTCCTCCTCCTCTACTGCACCTCCACCAGCAAGGGCCCTTCCTGCGGCGGGCGCCAAGAGCTTCGCTTTGTATAAAGGTAGGGAACCGGCTGCCCCTGCAGAAAAGCTCCCTCACTTGTGCACCTCCACGGAGGGAACCACAAGTTTGTTGAAAAAGCCGCTCAACGAT